CCCTTTAGCCGTTGATATATCCAACACGTGGGAAATATTTGTATGTGTTATGTATATGTCTGTGTAGGGAATTTTACTGCGATCACTGTCATACAAATTATAAAATGTTTCAACAAGTATAAACATGACAAACATCAAACGAACGAAAACAATGCGTTCGTTTCTGCCGCGAACGCATACTGAGCGACGTGGTTCTATATTTGGCGCTTCTCTTACACATGCTTTGTACAATTGTTATACATTTCATCTTATAGAAAATGTTATTGCGAACACATTGGTATAAAAAAGAAATACGTACATAAAAAAGTAGGGTTAGGAAACGTATAAATGTATAAACTTTCCAAACATGATTTCCCCCGTGTTTTCGCCAGTGCGCTCGCGGCTAACTACTCTCCACTTCACACACTCTTGCAGGTGGGCAATTACCTATATTAAACATTCATATGCATATGTCCGTGTAGAGAATTTTATTGTGATTCCAATGATACCAAAATTAGCGATGTAGGACAACTGTAGGCTTCGCAACCATTAAGAGAGTGGAAACATTTTGTTGCTGTTTGGCGCTCTCGGCGAGTGATCTGCATAGTTTTTTATTTGGTGTTGATACTCCTTATGCTTGGGCGGCATTTTATAGGTATGCTCTTATAGACAATTTCATTGCGAACACAGTGATACCAAATTTAAATACGTGCGCCTTCAATTATTGTCAGGACAGTCAAAAGAGTGTACACTTTTTCGGTCTTACCGCGTAGGCGCGCGAAGTGCCGAAAGCATCTGGGGTATTGTTTTTTCAGCGCCGAGAGCGCGAAAGTGTTAAGTCGACGACACCATCGGATGTCGAGTCGCATTTTTCGATGAAATTTACATCGTAACTCGAAATTATCGTAAGTAGGGGCAATCGTAAGTCGAGGTGCCACTGTATATATGACATGCACGGTTTCGGTTTTGTCACTGAAGGCATATATATATATGATTTGTGCGGTTTAAGGGTTAAACATCACATGGTTCATTGAAAGACTTTATTAACCACTGTGCTGTGCCAACCGAGAAAACACCTTTTGAATATTTCGTACCCACTCAAAATGTGTGTGGAGTAGGTCGTGTACAAAATGGACTCTAGGGGCCCTCCAGTGAGAGGCAGCCATCTTGGAAAAAAATTCCCAGAATGCCCTAGAGCTGCTGGCTGGGTTTGTACTAAGTGAGAAACCATGGGTGGTGCACATGCCTCTGGCTCCCAAACACCTGTCCGACCCTGTGTTGAAAGATCGTGCTCTGTCGGTAAAATTCAGACCTTATTGTTTGAAGAACATAAGGGGTCATGATATTGGTGAAGCTAGGTGCAATAAGGACCTAACACAAAGGTCAGATACAAGTGATACAGCATCTATGAGGACGATACAGCGACCGTATCCAGTTGTAGCTCTGAATGCCACCCTTGCCCACCTATGCCATCTCCAATTTATATAGAAGATACATAGATGAATCGTTTCCTAGGTTCAGTGATGATGCATCTGATACAAGTAGCATAGATGAACAGTGTTAGCAGCTTCCATGGTGGTGTTTTCCATAGATATTTTCAAGAATAGCTGAATCTCTTCCAGAATTGCCGAATCTCTTCCAGATTGACTGACACTCTCCAAGAATGACCATCTCTTCCAGTGAGGGACCTTACAAAGCACTCTTTTCAAGACTTCCTTACAAATTGATCTTTTCCTATAATCTTTTCAAGACCACCTTACGCTTTACAAGCTTTGCTACATACCACCTACAAGTACTAAAGCCATGGGTGTACTAAAGCCAAGTGCGTTATTTGCAAGTACACAGAACGAAGAAACGGGAAGCAAAAATCTATCTGTACCTGGTGCAACGAGAGCGAAGTTGTGCTGTGTACCATGGACTATTTTGTTGATTATTACTCACTTCCGAAGTACTGAGTGTGTAATACACTCAGTGTATTGCACTGAGTGTGTAATAAGTGTGTTACTGTGTAAATAGTGTGTGAAACTGCACATTTGTAATTTTAGTGAATTTTTAACAAATAATATTGCAACAATAAACATTTATTGTGGACACATTACTGACACATGTATCACAGTTCCATGGAACATTATGAATGTTCTACGGTATACATATTGTAAAGGACACATATGCATCATATACGATAAAAAAAAATAAAACCGCATTGGAAATACATAGAACAAATAATTAAAAATATATTTGTAGCAACTCGCGGTGCTTGAATGGCCTGCACGACCGTGTCTGTGGGCTTCACTCACAGGCGACCAGCCCCTGATGACGTCACAGCACACCTTGTCCACATCCCCACAGCCGAAGAAAGTAGAATTTTATATTTATTTTTACATAGACGTGTTCAGGGAAGGGAATTTATCATTTTACAAACAAAAAATCCTTTTTTGGAACGATTCATTTCATGCGCATAGGGGAATATGTCATAATAAACTGAGCACATCACAGTGGTTAACATCAGATTGGAGGCTTGCTGTGTCCTCTATGTTGTCTACTCTCATGAAAATTCTAGTGTCATCTGCAAAGGATGATACAGAGCTATAGTTTGTGTCCTTGTCTATGTTTGATATGAGGATGAGGAAAAGTATCAGAACAAGCACCTTGGGAAACTAAGCTTTTCAAGGTGGATGATTCATATTTACTTTGTTGACTATTACACTCTGGCTTCTGTTTGTTAGGAAGCTAAAGATCCATCTCCCTACTTCCATTACAGAAGCAGGAGCAGGAATTACTCCCAGAAAGTAATTCCTTTTGTGCGCATTTTGTGTGCAATAACACTGCGGTCACATCTGTCGAAGGCTTTTGCAAAATCTGTGTACCCTGTATATTACATCAGCATTTTGTTTGTCTTCCATGGCATATAAGATCATGTCATAGTGGCCTAGCAATTGTTAGAGGCAGAAATGCCCTATTCTGAGCACATGTTGTCCAGGGTTATGTAGACACTGATTCTGAGTATTGTGTGATCTTACTTTTTACCACTCGTTCAAAGATTTTTATGATGTGTGACATTAGAGCTATTTGTCTATAATTTTTGGCATCATCTTTACTAATGTTTTTGTGTAGTGGCACAATCTCTGCTGTTTTAAGTATGTCAGGAATAAAAGCAGCATCTAGGCTCCATCTTCAAAGGATGTTAAGGGGTCTGTGATACAGTAGTGATTTTTGCAATTATTGCTGCACAGAATTTCAGGAGTCCAGGCCTGGTGCAACATGCATGGGAATGTTGCCTTGGCTACTTCAAAATCCAGTGGGGTTAGGGTAACATTTGATATATGGCTCGGTGGTGATGTCACATTCATAAGAAATTCATTTGAATCATTCATCTGCAATGTGTTTAGGGGTTCTCTGAAAACAGAATCGTACTGAAGCCTCAGATTTCACTCATTTCTTTGCTGTCATCTGTGAAGGTTTTATCACTTTTGTGCAAGGGCCCAATGTAGGATGTAATTTTTGTTCTAGATTTTGCATAGGAGAAAAAGTGTTTTGGAATCCTCTCTATTTTTATTATGACCTTTTGCGCTCTCTCTATCACTTAGGTTTTATACGATTCTTGCAACCTTAGCTCAATCGTTTCTATTTCTCTACATAGCCTTCTGTTGTTCTTTGGATAGAGTTGAGTGGTTAAGATGTTCTGCAATTTATTTTTGTCACCTATAGAGGGAATGGTGTTCTCATTCCAGTTTACAATTTTCATATTCTCCTTAGTGGTATGTGACTTGCACATATTTCAAGTGCTACTGTGCATATTCTGTCAAGTTAATTTGGATTATTTATTTGGCTTGGTATATTTGTTCCCAGTTAATCTGTTAGTTATTGAAATTTGCTAAATTCTCCTCCTCTTCGATTTGAGACTGGCTGCACAGGTCTATTGACCATGCATGTCTGAACTTCAATTAGGGTGTGATCCGAGTAACAAGTAACTGTAATTATGTCGCTAAATCAGTTCATCACTGTTTGTGAAAATAACATCTAGTGTTCTCTTTCCAAGTTGGTTCTACTATTTGCTAGTTTTGGGCAAATCTGTTACATATTTGCAAGAGGTCATCTGTGGTGGTGTTACGGTTTTTGAATTAGGGGCGACGATGATCAAGGTATCGGATGCACCCCGGCTGCTAGATACTAGGAAATTGCGAAGAGGGATAGGATCCCTACAGCCTCTTCAGTTGACAGACGTGTTCAATAAAGCGAAACATTTGCAGAAGGATGTCATAACGGACATCCTCATCTTCAACACTCGCTCCATCAAGGAGAACGGGAACCGTGAGGCAGGAAATGTGCAACCTACGGACAGCACTCTGTTGTCTGACACAAGCACTATAAAACCGTGGGCAGTGGAGAAGTAGATGTTCTATAGTATCCTCCTGGTTCGAACACCACTGGCAGTAGGGAAAATATACACAGTGACCTCTGGAGAAATATCCACTGTAAGCAAGGACATTCTCTCAGCGTCCTGCTCTGAGGCAGCTTCTGCGGGCTCATTTATCAGCAGACATTTGCCTGTTGAGAACTGGCCATCAACATCCATGTTGCCCCCACCCTGGGAGGCATCCAGAATGGAGGCTTCGGCCTCTGCCTGTAGTGAGTGCTCCCTGGGTGACTGCTTTCAGCCCACACAGGCCCAGAAAACCAGCTTAAGTCCAAGAGAATCTCCAGAGGAAGAGATGAGAAAATCACAAATGCTGCACAAGCAACCACCAGGTGTCAACATGATGGCTGTCCAATCCCATCTACCGCAGGATGGGTATTGTCATCTGTGTGTGACTGTTCACTTAAAACAAAAACACAAAATTGGAAATAATTTTTTTCTTATGCACCTCTTGTGCACCTCTTCACTGCGTGTGACGGCTGCACAGCATCGAGATTAAAGCGAAAGTTCTTAACTTTACATAAAATAACCCAAATACTAAAACATGGAAAAGCATAGAAATAAAGTGAGTAAAACCAAACACTTTGAGAACAAGTAAACCAACCTCAATGATATTTAGCTTGCTCTCCATCTTTTGTGCAACTTCAGTGATGGAAGCCGTGTTTGAGTTTATATTGTTAAGGTTACTCCTTCCCCCTCCTGTCTTGGCCATGTTGTCCAGGTACAGCTGCGACGATGATGCCAAGTTGAAGTTATCAGCATTGCCATTACCATCATTGTCATTACCTCCCCAGTCATGTTCATCTTGGAACCAACTTTCACCACCAAAGGATGACACAGATGGAGGAGATTTAGAGGAAGGGGAGGTAGTTCTCGCAGCTGCAGGATCTAGAATTTGGCTTCGTAAACAAGTCCAACTAAAAGAAAAAATACAATTAAAAGAGATACAAGTACTGTATAACCATTCTTATAAAAAAATTAGTTATACTATTCTACACAAACATTAGTTACAATATAAACTTAATCATTGGTAAATATTCTTCTGACACAAAGGACAATTTTCACACCTGTTTGAGCGATTCCAACATTCCTGAGTCACACAAGCAAATACGTAAAGTGTTCGGTGATATAAAGACCCTTCCAAAGGTGAATAGACTTGAACAACTAAGGATTGCCTTCTGCCACAACGTTTACACATTGGAATTTCACCACCACTTACGCACCAATCCTGATAATGAAAATAAAGAAAAATATTAAAACTTTAAAAATATAAACTTTATTTAAAACATTATTGAAATGGAGGAAGCCAATTAAAAATGTAATTGAGCATTGTGATGTTACAGTGTTGAATGTGATGAAATGCCTCTTTCTAGCGGAGCCCCGGTGGCTCCCTTAAGCTAGCCTGCTGAGATTGATCCATGTTAATGGGTGACATCAGTTGCAAAAATTGTTTGGCCAACTGGGAACCAAAGCCAGAACCTAGCCTTCACACAGAGGCGAAGGGAACAAACAACAATTCACCACCACACAGGAAAAACATATAGAAAGTCTGTGAAGCTTTATAGGCAACCTGAGATTAGAAGTCTCAAAAACTGCCAAACACTGCAAATCATTTGCATGAAACATGAGATTCACTCAAACTAGTTTGAAACTCATTAATACTGACCACCACAACCACCAGGTGGCCTGGCCCCTGCCCTTAGCCGCCTTCCCTACACATTTCTGGAGATGATGAACAACTCTGAGAAAGCTGGGAGGGAATCTGGGGCCAAGAAAGAGGTGTTTCATTAGGGTACATTCAATGTTGGGTTTCTCAGGGAGCTCCTGAAGCTAACCAACCACAAACAACAAGAACGTTCTACTGCATGGCCTTGCAGAACTACTGCATGTTAAAACGAACCCGCAACCTCAAAATTGCCAAAAGAACTCCCCCAACAATGAAAAACTACCAAAATTTTGTGAAACTAGCTTGAGTAAACTTGCAAGCCTCCCTATTTCCCCCAGGCAAACTCTTCACCTGGGTGGACCAAGATAGCCGGCACGTCCCACCAGTCAGTTCTATGATGATGGAATATGCCACGGCAGTAGGGAGTGTGTGTGTGTGTGTGTGTGTGTTGGGGAGTCTCTCAGGCTCACCCAGAAATTGGATTTTTATTACATTCAATGCTGGTTTTCTGGTAGAAGCCCCTAGAGACTTCCTGAAGCTAACTATCCACAGAGAAATGGGCACCTACCAGGGAGGAGGGGGCACCACAGGTACCAGGACGAAGAAGATACTCATGGCCACAATACACAACCCAATGTAACACAAGGCCGACGAGGACCAGGGACATTTACGAGATACTTGGCTACCAATACCCTGTTCGAACATTAAAACCTCACTGCCTGAATATCTGCCCAAGACATATTAGCGAACACATCCATCAGAGCAGCATACTTCCTGACATGGGCATGAGGGCGCACCGCAGACTGGCTAGCTTTTGTGACACTACGGATGACCTGAGAAATACAATCCCTGAAACAGGGGACAAGGGAATCTGGGTCAACTCACAAGAATTCCACCGAAGCAGAAATGAAAAAAGGCCCAAAGGTAGCGGTGTACAGCCACCACTGGAAAAAGCCCTTAATGCACTCCCAGCCAAACCCAGCCAAGCATCCACAACCAATGGACCCCTCCAGAAACCAGCCGACTCATTCTTCGCCAGAAAAGAGGCAGCTGGCTGCAACCAAGCAAAACGCCCACCAGGGCAAAAAGACCAAAACCCCTCGTGCCTAGAAGAGCATGAAGCTCTCCCACATGGTTATCTTAAGGTTATCTTGAGATCATTTCGGGGCTTTAGTGTCCCCGCGGCCCGGCCCTCAACCAGGCCTCCACCCCCACGAAGCAGCCCGTGACAGCTGACTAACACCCAGGTACCTATTTTACTGCTAGGTAACAGGGGCATAGGGTGAAAGAAATTGTGCCCATTGTTTCTCGCCGGCACCCGGGATCGAACCCGGGACCACAGGATCACAAGTCCAGCGTGCTGTCCACTCGGCCGACCGGCTCCCCTGGCAGCCTAAAGTCTGAGACACTAAAATCAACGAGTTCCAAAATCAATCCCGGACTGAAGGGTCCACCACAAACCAAGAAGAGAAAAACGAGAGCACCCAGTCCAAAGACCAAGAAGGCTCGGGTGGCACATGAGCAAGCTAGAGGTGAAAAAAGGCACGAGAGAACTCATGAAATGAAGAGAAGTGACATCCATCCCGAACGTAAGCTGGAGCTGCTCTTCCAGTGCAGCATGATAAGCAACAGTATTTGGCATATGATGCCAGGCCTGAAAGAGCCAAGAAAGACAGGGCAAAACAACTGGAATAGACACCAACAAAATCCTACGAAGGGGAAGGAAATGGAAGAAAGATTGCCAAGAAGCTTCATACTGTCACAGAGGAAGACTGCAGGTGGGTCACCATCAATGAAGACATGGGATCACCATACAAATGGTGATACACCTGTGTCAAAAAAAAAAAAATAAGGAACCCAGATGTGAAGAGTAGAAGAGCAAGTCGAACCAGCAAGGTATATCACTGGCCCAATCTGCTGAAAGTGGCAAAGCTGAGGAAAAACACCCAGGTTCAAACACCGTGCAAGCTGCGTCTGAAACCAAGGCTGGGCCAATCATCATGGGGCCAGGAGAACCATTCTTTCCTGAAAATATTCGAGCCGAGCCAGAACCCGAAGCAAAAGCTAAACCGGGGGATGAAGGTACAGTACAACCTTGATTCAACACACCCCGATTCGCCGCATCTTCGGCTAAGTCACACACTTTTCAGGCCTGATTTACTTCCCCATTTCGATGAACAATGGTTCGCCGAAGCAGATGTGTGGATTTGCTTACAATGTTGGGACAGAGTTCACAGACTGGTGGAAACTTTCCCATTCTATCACAGGTTACAATTAATAATTCCTTCATATGACAAGCTGGATCACACAAGTGGACCACTTAACAAGTGAACCATATGAACCAAACACCAGCCAGAATAGTCCACACAACAAGTGCAGCATATTAATTAACCAAACACCAGCCACAGTGGTCCACACAATTGAATGACTGTTTCCATGATTTTCGTTCACCGATTTGTAGCACACGTATCTTTGTAGAGTAATTTAAAGGTTGAAGCGTGAATAGCTAGCTAAAGTGTTGATATCTTATATACATTTTCTATGATGAAATAAGATGAGTGAGGTGGACAGATAAGGGAATACTGTACTGTAAACCTCACTTTACAGTGAGGTTTCACTCACTTTCGTCTGTGTTGTTACAGTTCAGTGACCCATGACTTTGAAAGTTTCAGATTAATTCATCATTTTTAAAACCGGTGTTTTAATAGCTCTATTATCCTAATTAAAATAAACTAAATAAAACATAAAATATACCGAAATTTGATAGACATCTGCTATTTGAGAAATTATTCATGTTATTGATACAAGAACTTCAGCCCAAGTGGACGGGTCTAATCCGTATGCACACAGCACCATGCATGTTTCGTTCAATTTTGTTGCCACAGTTCAGTGACCTATGACTTTGAAATAATAAAATTAATAAATCAGTTCTAAAATAAGTATTTTTAATAGCTTTTATTATCGTAATAATGTTACTAAACTAAATATACTGTATAACTTAAAAATATATAATTTGATGTAAAGCCAATATTTAGGAGAAATTTATGTTACTGGATCTAACTTAAACACCAGCCTACTGTAGGGTATATAGACCTAGTCTGCATTCATACAGCAGGCACCCAGTGTCATTAGCTTTGTCTGCAAGTGACGTGTTTGTCTGCCGGTGGAAGAATAATTGTGGAATTTTCCATTTTTTGACTCAAGCTGTATACAACAAAATGTCTCAGGGGCTTGCTAATAGTGCCTTATTAGTGCCGAAAATGAGTGAATATTTTGCAAGAACTAGTAGCTGAAAATCAATCAGCACAGCCATACCCAGCACGAGCACGGCCGTACCAGCACCAGAGCAACAGCAGCCAGCACCAGCTCAGCAGCAACTGAAGCAAACACAGCAGCAGCGAGCACCAGAAAAGCTGATGCAAACATCTAAGATCATCGTGTGTGGAGTAAAAAGTTAGAATAAGTGTTAAATTTAAGTACATAGTGTTAGTGATAAAATTAAGGTTGCAGTACATTAATTTTAGTGTAAAATAATTTTCATAAACTGTATTGTAGTACTCAACATACAGCAGAACTACTTATCAATACAGTGCTAACAGCATAATACAGTACAGTACATATTTACTGTACAGCATTCACAACTCCATGAGAATTCAAGATGGACATAACTCCAACAATAAGGTAAATAACAACTGTAACAGTATTTTTTAGTAGAGTAGTAATATATAGGCACAGTATATAATACATTTTTATTGTTTACAAGAAAAAACACACACACAAACGCCTCCTGAAGATCACCACTTGCAATGAATCCAACGCTGCAACATGCCAGGGTTGGTCCCACATAATACGTTGAATGGGGGTTGTACTGTACAGGAACCCTCATTTCAACCAGTCCTGCCAGAAAGCGTTCACTGCGAACACCTCGCAGTGGGACTCTAGCGCCACATATACGGGGAGGTGCCAGAACCAAGCCAACGCGAAGAGGTCCAACACCGGCGACTGACAAAGCCAAAGGAAGGAGGCGGTGTCGACCGTTCACTCCATGGAAAGAGGAACAAAGCATGACAGGCCATCTGCCAGGATGTTGGACACCCCGAATGTGAACAGCGTGGAGAGCTAAACCCCGAGAACTCATCAGAAAAGCTACCAGAAGCGACCAGCCCCGAAGAGCCATGGACTGCAGAGACCCGGGACAGACGGCACAAGTCCAGAATGAACCCAAGATTCACAAAGTCTTGTTTCAGAACTGGAAACAAGTGAGAAACCTACTTGAGGGGCGAAGTTGTTTCGACCACGCCCAAGCAAACCCCCTCCAAGATGACCCGACAGAGATGGGGAAGAAGCCTGCCCTGCCAGCCCCGAACCCCCGACAGGAGGAGGAGGAGGAGCCACTCAATGCCACCAAAGGCCGGAAGAGATGACACGAGAAGCCCACGAATCATGGAGCCAAGCATTGGCAAGCAAAGCCAGCCTTCCCTCCATCTCCCCGTCAATGGGACACCCCCGCGAAAGGGCCCCACGCAACCTCCGAGAAGCCAACTTCCATTAAGAGCGACCAC